ATATTAGTAACAAAAGTTCAATCTTCATAATATTGTTCTTAAAAATCTCTAAAAATCTAGTAATGCTTAGATTATCTAACTGTAACATTACATAGTCTAAGGGTCTTATTCTGATCTGCTGGACAGATTGTACATGCTTTATTCTTATCATGAAATCAAGGGGAGTAAAGCCAATACTGAGCACTTTTGAAAAATCCCACCTGAAAGCTAGTAAGGTATGAAGATTCTGGAAGACAGCAAGTAAGTTGCACGTTTCCACCTCTGACTGATTATATGGCTTATTAGTTATCTTGGCTACTGAAAGTTATCATTGCATGCTTACAGATAAGAGTTGTTTTTTCAGAAGTGACACAATCTACTGCAAGGTATTCAGATATACCATTTAAAAAAAAACAGATAGTGACACTAAAGAGACTAATAGATAAAAATTTCTGATCTCAAGTGCATAGAATCAAAAGGTAGATGAATCATGACATTCTGATGGCCTATGAAGCTGGGAAGCTTGATCATTGTAAAGAACTTAAATTTACAGCATACACAACATTTTCCTTTCTAAATTTAATGGCAGTACAGAGTTCCGAATGAACAGGTACTAGGAATTAAAATTCTTTATTTATTCTGTGCCTCAGGCACAGATATTGAGCAAGCTCCCACCATTGCCCTCCCGATGTTTAACTGGAGGGACCACCTTTAACTAGTGTTCTGTCTCTGTCCGTGTTTGGCTTTACGACCAAGACTGACATGGAGGTGGCTTCTGCGATGTGACAACTGTCCTCAAGTACCTGAATTGATGCTTCCAGGCCATTGCACATAGATGGCCATCAGATGGTGCTGATGCTCCCTCTTAGTCATTAAGTGTTTGAGATGGATTTGAATCAGCAACCTAGAGATGAAAGGCTCCATATCCAATTATCAGAGCCCCTCAGTATTCTAGTCCCTCCCAACTGCTTAACGTACAACAGGTGGCTCACAGGCATAAAAACTGTACAACAGAACAGAACTAATTCCAATACTCGTTGGATAAAGGATGAGATAGGATAACTGTTAACAAGAATCTGAAGGGTTACCAAGGAGAGAAACAACAAGGAGTCCGGTGGCACCTTAAAGACTAACAGATTTATTAGGGCATAAAGCTTTCGTGGGTAAAAAACCCACTTCTTCAGATGCAAGGAGGGAAAGGAATTGTTTAGAGGGTGTCCACATGAGCTTTTTTACCCCAAATTTCCCATGGTTGGTCCCAATCATTCAGCACAACAGGTAGGAGTGTAAGCACAAAGACGGCTCCAGGCACCTGCAAGCATTTAAACAGTGTTGTCTAACCTTCTCTTACAGGTCCACACGGCACAGCGTTTAAAACACCAGCTGCTGCCAGTGCCTTGTCTACACCATTGGTGATAGCAACTGTAAGAAATTTGGCACAAACGAGCCTAGTATAGTAAAAGCATTAAGAGTCATACCAGGATGTTACACAGCATGGGACAAATATTGGTAGAGAAGGTTACTGAGAACTGGACGTAATATTTCAGCAGCAGTTGTACCAGTGCCAAAAACAAAGGTAAAATAATGTCTCTACTCCTATTTGAGATTCCCCTATTTATGTAGCCAAGGGTTGAATTAGCCCATTTAGCCACAGCCTCACACAGGGAGTCCGTGTTCAGCTGATTATCTATGACCCCCAAATCTTTTTCAGAGTTACTGCTTTCCAGGATAGAGTTCCCCACTATTTAACTATGGCCTACATTCTTTGTTCTTAAATGTATACATTTACATTTAGCCATATTAAAATGCATAATACTTACTTGAGCCCAGATTATCAAGCGATCTAGATTGCTCTGTGTCAGTGACCTGTCCTATTCATTACAGAATCATAGAACCATAGGGTTAGAAGGGACCACAAGGGTCATCTAGTCTAACCCCCTGCCAAGATGCAGGATTTGTTGTGTCTAAACCCTCCAAGACAGATGGCTATCCAGCCTCCTTTTGAAAACCTCCAGTGAAGGAGCTTCCAAGACTTCCCTAGGCAGAAGCAGTTGAGTCTATTTACCATTCCCCCAATTTGCATCATCTGCAAACCTTATCACAGATTATTTTATTACTTCTTCCAGGTCATTAATAAAAATGTCAACAGCTTAGGGCCAGGAACCAATCGCTGCAGGACCCCAGTTGAATCACACCCATTCTATTATGATTCCCCATTTACAGTTACAATTGGAAAGAGTTATCAGTTAATCCATGTCATGTATGCCATCTTTTATCATTCTAGTTTTATAATCAAAATGTGATGTGCTACCAAGTCCAATGACCTATAGAAGTCTAAGTATATTACATCAACACTATTATATTTATCAACCAAACTTGTAATCTCATCAAAAAATATAAAATCAATTTGACAGGATCTATTTTCCATAAACAATACTGAATGGCATTAATTACATTATTCCCCTTTAATTCTTTATTAATTGAGTCCCATATCAACCACTTGATTATCTTGTACAGGACTGATGTCAAACCAGTAGGCCTCTAATTACCTGCGTCATCCCATTTACCCTTTTTAAATATTGGCATAACATTAGCTTTCTTCTAGTCTTCTGGAATTTTCCTGGTGTTCCAAGACTTATTGAAAAATCAATATTAATGGTCCAGCGAGCCCTAAGCTAGCTCTTTTTAAACTCTTGGATACAAGTTATCCAGACTAGCTGATTTTAAAATGTCTACTTTAATAGCTGCTGTTTAGCATCCTTCCAAGATACTAGTGGAATGGAAAGAGTTATGATATAATGTCTTTTTCCCCCCCAAAACAAAACAGAAATATTTATTGAACTCTTTTGCCTTTTCTATATTATTGATAATTCTACCATATCCATCAAGTAAAGAACCAATACCATTTTTATCAGGATTATTTTGTTCCTAATATACTTTAAAAACTCCTCCTTATTGGCCATAACTGCTGACCACAGATTTCTCCTTGTGTCCCTTTGCTCCCTTATCAATTTTCTACCATATGTAGTTTCCAATTTATTTTCATTTCTATCAACTTCCCCTTTCTTCCATTCATCTCTATTTTTTTTTAAATATATACACTTGCCTTAATTATCCCTTAAACCAGGTCAGTTTTTTAACCAATAGTTTTCTTCCTTGATTATGGGATTACAGATTTTTGGGCATCTAATAAAGTATTCTTAAACAATTCCCAATTATCATTCACATTTTTCTGATTAAATTCTTCCTCCCATCGGATTTGGCTCATAATTGTTTTCAGCTTTCTGAAGTTGGCCCTTTTAAAACACCAAGTGTGTATATATCACTACTCTGGCCTTGATTCTGTCTGCACACTATAAATGTGATCAAGTCATGACCAATTGTACTTAACTTATTCATATTTAATTCTGTGATAACGTCCTCTTTATCTGTCAAGACAAATGTAGAGTTTCCCCCGTGTTGGATGCAACACATTTTGAGTTAGGAAATGGTCATCTTTCTTATAGTAAGGTCAGAACTGCCCAAGTGACTAATTCAGTCTAAATGGCCAAGTGGACACAACTTGCTAAAGTTTTGACCATCCCTTCTTTTATAGAACAAAAATAATAATAATAGTAATAAAAAAAATGCAGATTTGATTCGGCACTGTGGTCTTTTGTCTAGACTTTGTACCTTAAAGGCATATGAATTAGAGAAGAATCAGCTTTACTTAAAAGAGCTTAAATATACACATTAAAGAGAAGCCTCTTTAAACAAGGTGTGCCAAGAACAGTCAATAGAACACCTGCCAAATATAGTTACTCCACAACACAAAACTATTTCCCCCCCAGTTTATATAAGCACTCTGCACTGATTGTGCTTGGTATAAAAATGGGATCTGAGCAAGAATCATCACACGGGAATGTGTTTAAAAATCAATTGCTTTAATTTGATGATTTTTCATTGTGAAGACATTTCTAGTGGTTTTAGTTGTTTTTAAGGGTTTCCTGTACCCCCCTAAAGGTTAAAATATTGGGTCAAACTTTGAAAAGGAGAAATGCTCTTGAGAGCCTCAGATGAAAGATGCCATAGATGGGCAAAATAATTTGGCTAATATTTTGTGGTTGGATATCATCCCCCACTGGGAGTCTATCCTTGCTCAACTTTAGAGAAACTGGGATACTATGGGAATGTATTTCAGATGCAAAGTTTAATAACTTGAGGTTTTGCATGACAATCCTGGAAGACATTCAATACCCATCACTCATTGTCACAGGAGGTATAAAGCAAGCTTCACTTAGAAGCCCTCCCGTCAACCTAACAGCTGGATTCAGCAAGTAAGCTGCAGTTAAGTGATAAGAAAAAGCCTGATCTTTCCCATATCTCACACATTTGCTGTACAAGAAGCAGAATACACTATTGTGTAGGGATCCGCTCACACTCACTGGAAAAGGAGGAGAAAGTGCTTTATAAACAACGTTATTATTTCAGTATGTATGGGGCAGGTCCTCACCCACAAGGGGACACAGGACTCCACCTGCTCCACTCATTTGAGTTGCCTGGCTGTGCAGCCTCAGAGGGTTCATTTCACCCCTTTCTCTCACCCTGCTTAGCTTAAGCCTCCATCCCACCACATACTCCCTAAACAACATGTAACGCTCCCCCTTGACCTTCTTCCCACCCAGGCCATCCAGCCCCGCTAGCACAGATCCGTTCCCTACACGCCCCTTGCCCGCCCCAGGCCCCCTCCCCCAGCCTGCTAGGCCACCGTACTACCACCCCACACCCAGCTCCCGCCCTTCCCCCATCCCGTCAGCGCGCGAGGGAAAAGGGGGTTCGTCAGTTTCCTGTCCTCTCCGCGGTCCGCTCTCCCACAGCCAATCATCACGATGTCCTCACTGCCCGCCTCCTCGCCACCAGCCAATCGGCGGAGATAGTGCAGCTCGGCCAATGGGAGCGGCACGGGCTGGTGGAAGAGTCCACCCTGAGAACCCCCGCATCGGCCCGCCCCCCTGACCGGATCCCTACCCCCCTCCACTCACCAGCCAAGCCAGCGCCGCGACCTCCACCTCCTCTGCCCGGGGCACCGAGGGGAGGGGACCCGCTACCGCTCTGCCTCCCGCCCGGCTGAAGGGAGAAGGGAGGGGGGGTGACTAGGAACGGAGCGAGCGCGAAGCGGGCGAGAAACAAGATGGCGGCTGCTCCGTGAGGCGGTGGAACGGACGCGACGCTCCGCCCCTTCCCCCCTCGGGCGAAACACTGCGCATGCCCGTGACTCGCTGCTAGGCCTCGCGAGATCTCCGCAAGGGGGCGGTCCCAGGCGGAGGAGGGGCCTGGGAAGGGGAGTCCAGGGAGGTGGCTGATGAACCCCGGAAGCTGAATAGTACATACGGTCTCCTCAGCCGCCCCGGGACCTGCATGGGGCATAACACCCAGCTTGGAGGGGGGCCCCCTAGTCCCCACCCCAGAGGGGGCCGGGGCTCTGCACGCTCACAGGCGTGGGGTGGGGGCTAGAAGAGGGAGGCTATGGGAGGTGGCTCCCTGTAGGACAAGGGATCATTGACCTGGCTGGGGCATGAGAGGAGAACCCAGGAGTCCTGACACGCCCCTGACCTGGTTGGGGCATGAGAGGAGAACCCAGGAGTCCTGAGCCTGACACCCCCAAACAGGGGCTCTCTCTTGCCCTGCGATCTGCGTTATCCCGTCGCTGGTCTGTTCAGAGAAAACCTCTGTCAGATGCTTTCTTTGTTTTGCAGCTAATCTCTCCTCTCTGCCTGGCCCAGCCAGCCAGGTCTTGCAGGAGTTCTTCGGAGCATTACTTAGCTCCGGGCTGCATGCTTCCTGCAGCCAGAAACACTTCCTGCAGCTAGCAACACTTTCTAGAGTCGGAGCTACAGTAACATCAAGCCGTGTTGGCCATGCCAACGTAGGCTGGGGAGGCAGCTGACCCCCAGGCGGCCTTTAGGTGTGTATATGGCACCTTTTCGAGCATAGTATGCAGTTGACAAGATGAGGTGTATCACACGAATTTTCACATGGGCTGGAGAACCAGGCTGCCCCACGTTCAGCCTGTAGCAGCAGCAGCTGGGCCCAACTTCCCATGCCGGGTGTTTCGACAAGGTGCACGGGATTGCATGGCACTGCGACCCCGTATGCCTGGTTGCAATGCCACTCACTCAGATCTGGCCTGACTGACCATCACCAAACCTGAATGGTGCTGCGACCCTATGCACACCTAGAGCAAGGAGCTGGACCCAGCCTAATGGGATGGGAGCTGCTGCTGTTGGGTAAGTGCATGGCAGGCTCGCTGTGCAGTCCACCACCAATAGCCCATTCCCTTCTCTGTTTGCAAAACCTGACTCCGTCACTGGTGTCAACTCTAAACTCACTTATATCCTTCCTGCATTTCACTAAACTGATTGTGAAGGAAGAGTCCTTAGCTACAACAATTCTGTCTTCCAGATGCATAGAGAGACAAGGTGGGTGAGGAAATATCTTTTATTGGACCACCTTTTGTTGGTGAAAGGGACAAGCTTTTGAGCCACACACAGCTGTTCTTCAGGTCTGGGAAAGGTACTCCCAGCATCACAGAAAAAATGCAAGGTGGAACAGAGTGCTTAGTATGAGTAGTTAGCATACATTGTAATGGCCCATTTGTCAGTTTGAGACACTCACATGCTACTTTGCATGTAGCAGGTTCCCCAATGAACAAGAAATCTGCACCACTAAGAAGTCTCTCAACCTCTAAAGCAGTGGTTCTCAAAGCCGGTCCGCCGTTTGTTCAGGGAAAGCCCCTGGCGGGCCGGGCTGGTTGTTTACCTGCCACATCCGCAGGTTCGGCCGAGCGTGGCTCCCACTGGCCGCGGTTCGCCATCCCAGGCCAATGGGGGCTGCGGGAAGCAGCACGGGCTGAGGGATGTGCTGGCCGCCGCTTCCCGCAGCCCCCATTGGCCTGGGATGGTGAACCGCGGCCATTGGGAACCGCGATCGGCCGAACCTGCGGATGCGGCAGGTAAACAAACCGGCCTGGTCCGCCAGGGGCTTTCCCTGAACAAGCGGCGGACTGGCTTTGAGAACCACTGCTCTAAAGCACACTTAGAGAGATACTAGCCTAATCAATCAAGTTTTCAAGAATGCAATATTATGAGACCTTTGGCTACACCTCTTTGGGACCTTTGGCCTATGGTCAGTGTTTATGGGTCATAAGCTTCCTGAGTTAGGAAATATTAATACAAAGATTTTATGGGTAGTTCAGTAGATAGTGCAGGAGATTGGAAGTCAGGACCATCCAACCAATGTGCTTCAATCTTGCCCTGGAAGAACCACATCTAAACATGATAATCCATTTTCCATGGCTCGTTCAGTCTGTGACCAATCTGGTGATGTTTCCAAGTAGTGTCAGTTGTGATCCTGATAACTGTCCTAATTGGACTGGTCTGAGACAACTAACTCATTTCACACGGATCTCCAATTCACCATCACGTAGTAACTTTCAGCTACTATCACACCTGGCCTGGATCTGAATCACTGACCCAGAAGCAAAAGTCTTTGTATCCCAGTTCACTGAATTGTCCCATTCCCCAAAGGCCCCTCTCTCACTTAAACAGAGACTGGCTCAGGGGAATATGTTATGGCTGAATGTGACTCCTGCTGCTCTTGTGCCTACTGAAAGGTAGAGCCTGAAAAATTACTATCAATGCGGCTCTGTGTGTTTATTATCTCTCATTGATTACCAGATAACACCCTCCGTTTACTAGTCGAATGATGATTTTCCTCACTGCCTGGCCATGTAAACGTCACCTGGATGTGAAAGTCAAGCTGGGTTTTTCCTGGCTCCTATCCCATAACTAGTAATAAAGCTGCAATCAGAACTGAGCTGCTGTCTCTTGTGTCCTTCCACATAATCATAGGTTTTTCTAGTGTTGGGCACATGATATGCTTGATCTGTAGCTTTGGTGAGATCATCCATGGTGCACAGTTCCTCAAGAGCCAGCAGACCAACAGATGTTCTGTGGTTTGTGTTTCACCGAGGTCACATGTCTCTGGATTGTTGGAATAACCCCACTTCCGCATACTGACTCTTGACCTGCCAACTATTGTTTGGAAGTGATTTAAACATCTCCAGGTAGACCAATCCTTTGTGCATTTTGATGTCCTTGTCAAGTATCGCAAACTGTGTCTACTGTGTTTTCAGTTGTGTAGCTGTTGGTGATTTTTCAAGCAGTTCCGTTGCAACCTAGGAAGCTTTTCTGTGATTTCAAGCGGCTAACTGCTGTGGTGTGGCCATGTCTGGTATTGTCGACCTCAGATATGGGAGGTACATTCTTGCCAATGTTTGCAATTTTTATAGAGTCCTGCGATATTTGGTGTTTTTCTTAAAGCATCAGCTCTTGGATTCATGTGAATGCATGAGGATCTCAGCTGTGGTTTATTAAAAGGAAGTTTGTAGCCCTTGTGGTTGCAGAGAAAAGCTTGGATATGTGGCTCATGTGCAGAGGACAAATATAAGTGAACTCAGAATATATTATTTTAAAGATCTCATGCTTTTTAAGCCAAACTCATTTTTTGAGAGCTGACTCATGATCTTTGAATGCTTGGGGTGGCACTATTGGAGGTGTTTACTGCTATGCAATGTTGCATAACCCATCTTCGTGTTACCTTGTTTATAAATCCATCAGCCAATGCTGCTGCTGCTGATTTTGCAACAAGGTGCAGTTATAGATCAAAACAGCTGTTTTTCTTGTGAGCTGGAGGGCAAGATGATATAAGGAATCTCTGCCCATTCCCTCTGTGCTCCCTCCAATTTATTTTAATTGTGGTCTGATGTGCTAAGCCAGCGATGTTCTGTTTCCTTCCCAGCTGCTTTGTCAACAGCAACGAACACATCACTGAAGTGGACCTGGCTCCCTGGAAAGGATCGTAGCCTTCTGCCAACAGGTCTCTGTGCTAAGCTGACTGCAACTTGGAGGAGGCAAGGAAAAGCAGAAATGAGGCTTTTTCCGCTTTCTGTCTTCTTGCTGATAGTGGTGTAAATATTTCTTCCTGCTTTGTCGATTTCATACTGAACAACATCGGTTACCCGCTCAGCCACCTCTTTGCTGTATCAGCAGCCAAATCCAGGGTAACTTTACTGCAAAAACGACACTGATTTTCAGAAGAACTGAGCAGAGGGTGCGCTACACGGCTGAAAATCGTGCATCCCTGCATCGGAAGTTGTTTTTTACCTCCCTTCTCCACACCACTCTGCTAACTGCCTCACAAGGGGGAATTAGTCCGAGTTTCCATGATCCTGCAACGAGAGAAAAAAAGAAACACCCGCTGTAAGGTATTAATTTGGCTTCATACCAGAGTACCTGACTGCATGTGAGCCACACTGCCTTCTGCTCACGTGTGTAAAAAAGATAGGGCCAGTTTCTGATATTCCTTAGTCCATGAATAATACCATGAAAATCAGTTGGATCACATGGGAAGTAAAGTGCTACCTAATCTGAGTAAGGGTGTCAGAGTCTACCCCTCAGTGTGTAATTACTGTGCCTGCCTTATTGTGCATGCCACTGGAGCATATTGGTCACATATTGGGTACATTTTTAAAGGGCTTTTGGAAATTTTGTCCTTCAAGGTGACCTGAAAAGAACCAAACTCTTTTTTCCTTTTCAGGATGTGAAAAGGATCCCAAGAGGTAACTTTCCCTCCTGCATGTTTTTTATTTTAGAATAAAAGATCACACCATGTCTTCCTTATCTTTTTTTCTGAAAGACTCTTCAGGGGACCAGAGAACTGAACAGAATCTCAGTCCTCAGTTGGAGGGGTAAGGGGGGCAGTGTTTGAATCACAAAGAGAACTTTTCTCCCAAGACTCCATTAGGTGTCTGAGCTAAATGGGTGTGAACAAAACACAAGGTATTTTAAACAGTCTGACTAAAGATCCCTCCCCCTCTCAATTGCTCAGATCTCAGTCTCTTATCACATGTCAGAATCCCTCTAGTTCTCTAATCATCCACAGGGCCAACCATCCAGAGCAGACTAGACAAGACCTGATATGATTAATGTTAAAAACAGTCCCCAACCAAGCCCAAACTTTCTCTCCTCCCAGACAACCCACTTGTCAGGCCTTCTTCATGCATCTGAGAGGGAAAAATCAACCCACCCCCGACCTAACTGTCACCTTTAGAGTAATTTGGAGGTATTTGGGACTCAGCTGTGTTGGGACTTTGCAGTTTTGCTTCTCACCTCCAGGT